TTTTTGGTCTTTTTGAAACAGGGTCTCTCTGTAGCCCCAGCTGTCCTGGAACTCACTATGTAGACCAGGCTGGCCTTGAACTCACAGAGATCCACCTGCCTCTGCCTCCCAAGTGCTGGGATTAAAGGCATGTGCCACCACGCCCAGTAGTCCTGATAACTTTTGATGCTACTTCTACCACAGAGGATCAGTCACATCACAGCACAAACATCATGGGCAGGTCTTGATCATTGTAGGCTCCAGAGAGACAGCATGTGTGTTGGAGTCCATGCTGAGACTCGGGATACCTCCTCATAGGTATAAGCAAGTGAGAGTAAGTAAGGCTAATCTTCAAGACCCCTCCTGTCAGGTGTGCTGGACACTGGTGCCCACTAGACTCATTTTGATGAAGGCTGGGCCATTGGTTCTTCACAGGTCACCCTGACCCTGGCCAGCCTTGGCCTTGCTCTGGCCTGAGAGAGATGTACTTCATGGTCTAGTTTATCTAGGGCCAGAGAGGGGGGTAAAATTGGAATGACATGGTTTCTCTCACCAACCCTCAAGGAGGGACAAACTCACATGGAAGTTGCATCCTGAAGCTCCAGCTGTCCAGTGAGGTTTGATTCTGCAAACCAGGCCAGCTATAGAGGGTAACAGGCAGGGCTGGTACAGCTGCCAGGAACAAATACAGGATGCTCAGGTGTCTTTCACAGGTACCCAGCTGGCTTCTACAGTACTCTAAAGAACCCAGGCCTGCATTCCCCAATATGAGGGAGCTTGGGCTCTGAGCAGCCTCACTTGTGGTTGCCATAGCCCCCAACCACAGTCCAGGGACTACCTCTGAGCCTGGCCTGACCACCTGACCATCGTCAGGGACCCTCCCAAGCCCCAGAATCAGCCAGGCCAGCCAAAGAATGCTGAGGAGAGTTTTGTAACTCCTCAGGCAGAGAAGAACAAGAAATAACTATTTTTGTGCTCAGATCTGGGAACATCAGTGTTATAGTTACTTTTCTGTTGCTGTTATGAAATACTGTGACCAAAAGCAACTTGTAGACGAGTTTATTTTGGCTTAAGATCCTAAAGGGAGCATTGAGTCCAGAATGGTTGGGGAGGTATGCTGCTGCAGACTGGGAAATCCTGTCTTTATCCACATGCAGGAAGTGAGAGAGCAAACTAGAAGTGGGGTGAGGCTATAAACTCTCAAAGCGTTTCACCAATGATGTGCTTCCTCCAACAATCCTATGCCTCCTAAAGGTTCCATAACCTCACCAAACAGTGCCACCAACTGGGGACCAAGTGTTCTAATATCTGACTGAGCCTGTGGGAAACATTTCTCATTCTAATCACACAACCAGTTTTCCCAGTTAACCTAGGAAGAGCTGTGAGCACATATATTGCAAACCACATTTCAGTCCATAAACTGACAACTGACCAAGAGTCCTTGCTAAACTGGGCTATAACTGAAACTCAGGAGGGGAAGTGGCAGAGCCAATGTCTGTCTTCACATCTTGCAGTGTAGGCCATCACACTTTCAGACACCTGCACAACCATGGAGCAGAGCCAAGCCTGGTCCACTCCTGTAGGCTCAGACTTGGCCAGTGGGATGTAACCAGAACCTAAGGACACACCTCAGTACATCTGCTCCCAAACAAACTTTTATGTGCCAGGTCCACTGTTCTAGCCCCTTAACAATCCCTCTAGCCAGTCTTCTCTCTCCTCCCAGGTCATCTTTCTCTCCCCGCTACCCTCAATCTCCCCAGCATGGTTCACCAGTGTCTCACATCTTCCTCCAACTCTGGGAGTCAGAACTGCCTCCTCTCCCACCTTTCCATCCAGGAACCCCACCCCACCCCTGCTACCTTTGATCTACTGGGTCATACTGAACTTAAGCAGAGTCTGTCTGTCCTGCTGCTCCAGCTGCTAGACCATGTCCATCCACAATGACTATCTGAAAGGAAGAAGGCACATAAAGCTCACAGGCCGGCAGCTAGCCTTGAGCTCAGAGAAGTCTCACCATGGGGTAGAAAGACACTTCTCAGATGGAACAGAAAGCAAGCACTGATTGTCAACTCCTAAAATTGATAGATTAGACTTTATGAAAATTTAAAACTTCAAATGGCCCATTAAAAAGGCAAGATGTGATTACAGGGTGTGTAACCAAGGGACACTAGAGAAAGCTCACACTTAGCAACAAGGCACCCAGATTTTCAGAGAGAAAAGAGGATGTGGGGATATCCCTGACACTTGGTGTGTTGATCAAACCAGGGCACCCAACCTGAGGCCACATGTGGCACTCTCTAGCCAGGTGGCAGCACCATATGTTGGTGACATGGAGAGAGCCACAGCTCTCAGCTCCACTTGTTTGTGAAACCCTGCTGCCAGTCATAGGGTTACAACCTTGGAGCCCAGCACAGACCAGCTCCATCTATACAGGCCAGGGGCACTCTGTTCACAATGGTACAAGCTGGTCTCAGCTATATCCATTGAAGGACTCTAGAGTGGATGGTATCCCTATAGGATGACCCTTCACAGTATCCTAGAAGCCACTGTTACTTCCTTTTGTGACACTCAAGAGAGCCCAAAATCCTGAGAGTGTGAAGGGTGCTGGCTCCAGGGAGTGTCTCAAGGTTGGAGTGTCTGAGTGGTATAGCTACACACAGTGCAGGCCAGTTTTGCTGTTGCATCAGTGTATCAGTGCAGTGAGTTTAAAGGTCTAGGCTAAGGCCAGGCAGCCTTGTCTACACATCTCCATTACACTGTTCCTGACTCCTGCCCAGCTGCCACTGTCCCTCATCAGGTCTCAAGGGTCTCCATGGTAGTCACCACACTGTTCTAAGCCCTAGGTCACTGGTTCTGTTTGCCCCTGCATGAATTTCAGTTCCCTTGGGGCTCTCATACCCCTACTTCTAGATAGACCCCTGTTACCACACTCAGGCCTGCCTTAACCAGATCTGCCACTACAGTAGATCCCAAGGAGCCCAGGCTGCCAAGGCCCCACTTTCCTGGACTTGCCAGCTCACATATGGGTTCCACACCAACTTGTTGGAGGCTCTGTACCTGGGGTGTCAATAGGAACTGCAAGTTTAGAGAGGGCCTGGGATCATGGTCCCAGGCTTAGGTGACTGGCAGGCTGGAAATGAGGGGCTCAGAAGCCCCTCTCAACTTGTCCTGGGCTACTGAGGCATGGACACTGACACAGATACATGGAGGAAGGTGGGCCTGGGTCCCAAGCACACCACATCGCAGTTCTTCAATTGCAGGTGATCCTCATCATCAGTGGGAACCTGAGCTTCCTGAACTGGCTCACCATTGTGCCTAGCCTCGCCTGCTTCGATGACGCAGCTTTGGGATTCCTGTTTCCCTCAAGACCTAGAGGCCTGAAGGACCAAGTCCTAGGGATGCAGAGGAAAGAAGCAAGAGAGGTCAAGTCTAAGCCAAGATATGGTAGGTGGAAAATGACTCCAGCCAGCCCCATGACCCTTGTGCCTAATGCCTAATGAATATGTCGGAAGGGAGGGTAGCCTACCACACTCAAAAGAGAAGGGTAGAGGAAGCACCTCCTCCTGGGAGGAGGCTTCTGCTATCTAGGGCCTTCCATCAGGCCAGGACCAGGGACAGCTGGCCTTTAGCCACCTGCATGGACAGTCATCTCAGAATCCACATTGGCCTCAGGAAGTGCTTTTGGTTCAAGCATAGCGGGGGGCTTGAGCTACCCTTTGAGCTACCCTTCCCAGCCTGTGGATGGGGACACACACTTACATGGCCAGCTGTGTGTGTCTCTAGGCTTTCTTGAGCCTGAAGTGGCAGAATAGCAGCCATGGTTTCCTGAGGATAGGCTGAAGTGGATAGCACAGCTTTGCCCTGGGGTCAGGAGACTGGCTGGTGAGAACCACCCCCCACCTTTGGGCCAGGCTGCATGGTTCGGCGTGTGGTCAACTTCTCCCTGGGCATCCTGGTGGCCTGGCTCAGCATGCCTGTGGTTGTCAACCTGCTAAGCTCCAAGCAGGTCATGAACACTTCCTTCAACCCACTCAGGATCGTCAACACCTACGGAGCCTTTGGAAGGTATGAGCCAGGAATCCTGGCTGGGCACTAGAAGCTGTCCTCCTGTCTATCCTAACACACCTTGGGAAAGCATGGGCTTATGATGTCACCTGCCCCTATTGTCCTTTCCCTAGCTTGAGGGAGGTCTAGAACACCCATCACTGGACAAAGAGGCAGAGTTTTCACCTAGTGTGATGTGGACACATTAGCCTTCCCTGGTCTCTCCCAGCATCACCAAGGAGCGGACTGAAGTGATCCTGCAGGGCACAGCTAGCCCCAATGCCAGCATGCCTGACGCAGTGTGGGAGGACTATGAGTTCAAGTGCAAGCCGGGTGACCCCTGGAAGCAGCCGTGCCTTATCTCCCCTTACCACTACCGTTTGGACTGGCTTATGTGGTTCGCAGCCTTCCAGGTAATGATGTCCCACCAAGGTGCCCTGCTAGAGCAGGCTTTCCTTCCCTTGAGGGATCGAGTGAGAGAGAAGGGACGCTAAGGAGAGGTCCATCCCACCAGAGGCACTGAACAGGCCCTGCTCTGACCTAGACCCACCTCAAGAGGAGTCCTGTGGAAAGCCCAGTTCCCTGAAGCCCCAGGCTGGTGTTGTGGACATGTGGGTGTCCGGTATTCTCTGTTCTCACACACACAGTCCTATCCTGACCAAGAGGAAACTGAAACCAGGGTAGGTGGCCAGGTAGAGAATAGGGCTAAGGGCTGGTTCACCAGAGTGACCCCCCCCCAACCAGGACAGACTCTCCAACAGAGTAGGAAGCAGGCAGCCCCTGAAGAGTTGAAGAGTGGGCCCTCAGAGGAAACTGAATCCTGGCAAACCTGACCTTGAGCGCCCAGGACTGCAGATGATGTTTTGAGTGATCAGGAGGGGGCTGTACCTGGGAGAGTGCCAGCTGGTCAGGTCAAGGTGACGCTGTCCTCATACCCCAACCTCATAAGCCCCATCCCCCCCAGACCTACGAGCACAACGAATGGATCATCCACCTGGCGGGCAAGCTCCTGGCTAGTGATGCTGAGACCCTATCCATGCTCGCCCTCAACCCCTTCGAGGGTAGGGCTCCCCCCAGGTAAGACCCTCTCATTCACCGTACTCTGTGGCTGATGGGCAGCCTCATTAACTTGAAGTTGACTTGGCACTCCAACACATGGTGTGGAATTGAGTAGCAGCCAGAGACTATGGGACTGAGCAGTCTTGAGCTGGCCCTGTCCTTCCCATGTGCCCTGCCCACTATTGATGCTGACAGAAAACGAGTTCCTATCTCTCCCTGTAGAAGCCTCAGCACAGCTGCACCTGGAGCTGCCCACAACTGTAGAGGCTGTCAGGAGGGGGGCTATGGGTCAGTAAGCAGCTGCAAGTCTGGCAGCCTAAGCAAGGGATCCACACATCCACACAAGTGCTGTTTCTAGAACCCTCTTGGTACTATATACCATGGCACTGGGGATGGGGGACATCCCTCTCCAGGGGCCAATCTCTATCTAGGGTTTGCCAATTCCACTCTCTCCCCACCCTGCTCCCTCTGGGATAGCTGCAGGTGCCCCTCTTGCATAGCCACCTCTCCTGCATAGCACCCTGCAACCACCAGGAGACCTGGATTAGGTACATACCTGAGGCAGACATGTGTCTCTAGGTTTTCCAGATCCAGTGGCCAGGCCTCTCTGGTCTAGAGCTGCGTCCTTCCAGACTCTGGACAGTTTTTCTCAGACCATCCTCCTTGCCTGAATGCCCCAGGTGAAGAAGTATCAGAGACCTGGCTGCTGTCTTAGGTTTGTGTCCCAGCCCCCAGGGTGGACATTTCAGGCCTGAGTCCCTAAGTCGTCACCTGGATGGAAGGCAGAGGCTAGGATGAGGTCTTCTGACTTGGCCCCTGACTTGGCCCCAGACTGAGGAAACAATCAGGAGCACCCTGTAGAAACAAAGCCTTGCCTGCAGGCAGATGCTATGGAAGTGAAGGCACAAACCCAACTCACCTTTTGTGTGAATTGGCAGTGAATTAGTATTTCAAGAGAAATGTGGAAAGCAGCTAAAAGCAATAAACACAGAGCCTGCACTCTGCTGAACCTTATGGGCTATGCTTGGCCACAGAGCTGCGTGTGACTGGGTGTGACTCAGCCTGACCATGGCCAGCTGTAACTTTCTAAAATGGATGGCGACCAGAGCTTCCACAGTGGGAAGATGGAGCAGACACCTCCCTGCCCTGTACTGAGCCTGGGTACCATCCATGAAGTAAACATAGGAACTATGAAGAGTGGAGGGAATACCCCAGTGAGGGACTGCTGGACACCAGCACCAACTCTAAAATGGAGGTAAGTGCCAGGTTTTCTTGCTGCCTCATTTCCTAGATGTGGAGATAAAGGAGCAGCTGGTGAGATGGGAGCTACAGCCATCCCACTCTACCCCAGCCAAAGGAACAGAACACCACCACATATCATGGAGACCCAGGGGCACGTGCACCCCACTCTGAACAAAGAGAGTCACCCACTGAGCCTCTGGAGGCCCATGGTGACCCAGATACTAGTCATAGCATGCAACCACAAACCTGATTTCATGGCATCTGGGGAGTTCCACCTCTGCCTAGGGTGAAGGCCAAGCCAAGTAGAAAGTCTGGCATGGAGTTAAGAGGAGCCGTACAAACTGAAAATTTGCATAAGATGTTGGATCTCCTAACACCCAAACTGTTAGTTTTCAAATGAAAGCCCAGTTGTCATACCCAAAACCAGAAAGACATTGAACTAAGCTAGAAAAGACAGTGGATGACAACAGCTGAGTTTCCACACAGTGATTGTAAATCGCTCCAGGAGGTAATTATGAACACAGCACTTATGAAAACAGCAAAGAACAGAAGACAGAGGAAGAACCAAGAAGAGACTCAGAATAGAGAAACAGTCCCTGGAATAGAGTACTGGAGGAGGACAGGAAGAACTGGAATGTGAGGGAAGAGGCAGCAATGACCCATCGTGGGCAACCAGCCGAACATCTGAGCATAGCGTGGGGCCTGGGATTGCGACAAGATCTGAAATAGCTGTCCCCCAGGATCTCTGGGAGAAAGAGGAACAGCCTGGGGCTAGAAAGACAATTAATGAAAACTTCCTAAATTTGACCAAAGGCACAGATCTGGAGGGTCAGTAAACTAAACCCCAAATGGTAAACCCTAGAAAGACTCAGACCAAGACACAGTAGACATCTAGAAATTATAGATAGTAAAGGAGCTGAGAAGTCAGAGCCAGAGCTACCACCCTGTCACTGAGGGTCAAAAGACACTGTGAGGATCAGTGTCTGCCCACCATCCAACCAGAACTTCATCCAACAAAGATGCCATCAGGAATGAGAGGGAGACCAAGCCATCCTCAAAGTAAGGAAAACCAGATGCTTCATCACTGAAACAACAGACGAGCTCTTCCAACAGAAAGAAAGCAAGGGGCTTCGGTAATCAGCTAAGTGAAGGTTATGTCATGCCCTAGGGGTCCAAAATTCACGTGGAAGGATAGTCAAGACCCTTCCATTACAAATGGGGGGGGGGCTAGAGAGAAGGCTCAGCAGTTAAAAGCACTGGCTGCTCTTTCAGAGGACCCAGGTTCGATTCCCAGCATCCCCATGGCAGCTAACAGCCATAATTCCAGTTTCAGGGGAAGCTGACACACTTTTCTGACAGGCATTGCATGACACAGGTGCACTTACATACATTCCAGCAATACACTCATATATATATATAATTTTTTTAAAAAATGGGTGAGGGCGGGTAGAGGCTTGGTCAAGACACCAGCAGACCCATATGCTTATAATGTACTAAGAATAACAGATTAAGGTGGGGGTGCTGAAGAGATCTTAGCAGTTAAGAGCGCTGGCTGATCTTGCAGAGGACCTGAGTTCAAATCCCAGCACCCACATAGTAGCTAACAACTGTCTGTAACTAGTTCCATGGGATCCAATGCCCTCTTCTGACCTCCACAGGCATTGAACAACATGGGTGCACTCACATGCATGCAGGCAAAAATAAAAATAAATTTTTTTTTAAAAAGGCAGCCAGGTATGATGGCACATGCCTTTAATCCTAGCACTCGAGTGGCAGAAGCAAGATCTCTGAAATCGAGGCTAGCCTACATGGCGAGTTCCAGGCCTGCAGGAGCTACAGGGAGACCCTGTCTCAAAAAGACCCCCCAAAAAAAGGTCAAATCAAAACTGTGTGTGTAGGGTATATTTGTAGGTATATCTTGAATGTGGAGGTTAAAGAACAATGTTTATTGTTTTTCCTCTGGTGTTCTCTACCTTTTTAATGACAGGGTCCTTTTCTGGAACCTAGGGCTCACCAATTCAGCTAGGCTGGCTGGCCAGCAAGCCCAGGAACCCTTCTGTCTCCCCAGGACTGGGATTACAAGTATGCACCACCACACCCAGCTTTTATTTTTAATTGTTTTTATTTTATGTGTATGAATGTACTGCCTGCATGTGTGTAAGTGCATCTGTGTCTTGTAATAGGGAGGTCAGAAGAGGGTGTTGAATGCACTGGAACTTGAGTTACAGACGGTTGTTAGCCACCATGTGGGTACCAGGAACCAAACCTAGGTCCTCTGCAAGAGGAGCCAATGCTCTTAATTGCTGAGCCATCTCTCCAACCCCTACACCCAGTTTTTTTTAATGTGGGTTCTGGGGATCAAATTCAAGTCCTCATGTTTTATCAACTGATCTATCTCTCCAGCCCTCAAGAATGAATCATTAAATATATATACTTATATGACTTATAGCGAGATAGGGGAAAAAAATTAAAAACTGAATCTGGCCATGCTTGGTAGAGACACACCTTTGGTCCTAGCCAACAGCAGGCTGAGGTGGGAGGGTAGCTTGAGTACAGGAGTTTTAGGACAAGCCTGGACAACACAGCCAGACATCCTTTAAAAATAAAAACAACAAATGAAAACAAAAAGTAAAATGATAGCCATAAACCATAACATGCAAATATTTATACTAAGGAGAGTGGCAGATCTGAGAAGTCACAGCCTAACCATGCCATGCTGCAAGATGCTCACCTCAAACCTGCATGGGCAGATTGAAAGTAAAAAGCTGAGAAAAGATACATCATGTAAATTAATAAGAGTGACCTCAGTGCAGATAGACTATTAGAAGCAAAGGGGAGCATCCTTACAAGTGAACATGAAGGTCCTGAGGGTGTCTGCATCATGACAAAGCTGCAATATATGTGAAGAAAAATGGTAGAGCTGGAAGAGAAAGCAGTGAGCCCACACCCACACCCACAGCGGGAGCCCCTCTCCTCAGTGGAACACCAAGGTATGAAACAGCAGGCACTCAGAACACACACACCACCAACTCACAGGGTTAGTTATCGATAAGAAGATGCCACCCACATGTGACCAGCCCGGTGTGTGGGAAGCAGCTAGCCTGGGAAGAGCAGGCAGTTCTATCAGACCTGGAGGAAACACTACCATTCCTCTCAACATGGCTGAAATGAAAAGCAGAGACAGCTGAAAAGCCACAAAGGTGCTGGGAGATCAGGGCACTCAGGCATGACTGCTGGAAAGGCAAGTGTCACAGCTGCCCTGAAGCACAACTCCATGGGCCCTAAAAGTGAAAGCTGAGATGAGCTGAGCTCCTGCTCACAGCCTTTTAACCCAAAGCAATGAAACCAGTCCCTACAAAACCCATACAGACTCACAGCAGCTTTGACTGCCAGGAGCTGAAAAAGCCCAGCTTTCCTTCCACAGGAGAACCGCATAGACCATGGGACATCCCCATCTAGGATGTCCCTGCCTTGGGTACCACTGCCCAACAGCATAAGGTCTGAAGTACCTGTGAGCCTCCAGAGGCCATGGTGGGTGGAAAAAGCCAGTCCCCAAGGCCACGCACTGTAGGGTTCCATTTATGTAGCATTCTTGAGATGATCAGAGACTGTGGACGGTAGGAGTAGAGTGTTACAAGACAGAATGTACTGGTAGGACAGTGTCCAGGTCCTGACTGGGATCCCATACTGTAGTTTAACAAGATATTTCTCATAGAGTCTGATCTTAAGCTCCTACTTGAGACAGGTTCTGGAATCTTCCAGGGGTAGTAGCAGTGTTCCTGGTTACCCTCTCTGACCTGGAGAGATCAGGAGGCTCTGGCTCTTTCCCAGCCTCTCAGGCCCAATGCTGGACACCTTCCCACTGTCCAGGGATCCCCACCAGCCCCCTCCCCTTTGCCTCTAAGGTATAAGCCCTGCCACCCTAGACCTTCATCCTGTCTTGAAAGAAAATGAAGGCAGTTCAGTGAGATGGAGCAATCACACAACAGGGCCCTTCTCAGAGGCCCTGCATCCCTGCCCTCCCCCAAGCCTAGTAGAATACAGGGTCAGGACCCCAACTTCAGGAAGAGAAGGCCTTCATAGGAATCTCTCGTCAGCCCTGCCCTTTCCATGTCCATCTGTGGGGTCCAGCACGGCTCTGATCAGCACTAGCCAGCCACAGCCCCCATGCTGGCCACTAGTGTCCACCCTCAGAGACTCTTACCCACTTGGGATTTGTATTTGAGGAGAAAGAGGGATGACTGCCCCACCCGAACTAATGATGCCTCAATATTCACAGCCAAGACAGGAAGAGCATGTCCCTCCCTGGCCCCACTGTGGGGCTTGCAGTATCCTGCCCACACCCTGGTAGGACAAGTTGGGGAAAGTGAACCAGGGGCTGTGAGGAGCATCACCTAGGGTCTCCTTCAAACCCCAGGACACAGTGTGTGAGCCCACATGCACCCATTCTATGTCTAAAACTTAATAGACCTGGAAACATTTTGGTCATGGAGCTGGTAAAGGGCCACCCATGGGTTGCAGGGGCCTGGGCCTGTCTTCTAGCCTGGGGAACTCTGAGGAGCCCAGTGGGAATCAAGACCCCAAGGCCTCTCTGGGAAGCCACAGCCTCAGACAAAGAGGCAGCAGGCTGATGGCACTGTTCCCCACAGATGGATCCGAGGAGAACACTACCGGTACCGGTTCAGCCTTCCCAGCGGCCAGCATGCTGCCCAGGGCAAGTGGTGGGTACGCAAGCGGATTGGTCCCTACTTCCCCCCACTCTGCCTCGAGGACCTGAAGGAGTACTTTAAGGCACGGGAGTGGCCACTGCCAGAACCCCATCTAGATGCATCCTGAAATAAAGATCAGGGGCTAATTGTTGCTCTCCCTGGACTTCCCACTGTGGCCATGGGTCCCACACTATGACAGGGCAGCCTTTGGGCCTGCCAAGAAGAGAGAATGGAAAAGAGTTGTGCTTCTGTAACTGTCAGTCCTCCAGCCTCTGTCCTTGTGTGTCACCTTGCTCTCCTCTCCCCACTATAGAAAGAAACCCCTAAACACCCCCATGCCCTACATGTGGCCACACAGTAGGGTTACACAAGCACCAGTCCCTCCTCACCCCAGGGCCCCTCCCACCCAACTTGGGAACATACCCACAGAAACATGAGTTCATGTGTTCCACACACATACTCCAGTGTAGGAATTGCATTTGTGAGGTGGTGGATAGAAACCCTGTCTTCAGCTCATGGCCACTTCCCTAGCTTCACATGGGTGACCTACAGAGGACCCAGTACAGCTTTGTCAAGTGGGGACTGTGGCCAGGAATATGTAAGACTTCCTATCACTGAATGGGCAGAACTGTCCGGGGTCACCAGCTACAATGACTGCTGGGACACTAGGAATAGCTCCCTGCCACCCTCCCTCTGTTCCCTGTGTCTGGAGCTCATGTTGCTCACCCCTGGGCCACACCACAGAAGATCCCAGCAGGGACAAGAAGGTTCAGTCAAGGAGGCTAACTGAGGGGGGGGGGGGGACAAAGGGGGGGCTTGGGAGGGCCCCTTCCCAGCCCGCCTGGGGGAAAGGGCAGCCC